ACACCAACTTTTACAAACCATCGCAACCCGGTCTCCTAAATCTAAGTTATTAACTAAACGTGGGTATTTTCTTTCGTTACATTTGAACCAGATCGAACTGAATTTTAAGTTTTTAAATTTTTTTTTAACCATAAACCAGTGTTTCCCAAAGTGTCATGTGAAGTGTTTTGGCGGGGGGGGGGGGGGGGGGTAAGGGCGAAAAAAAAAAAAAAAAAAAAAAAAAAAAAAAAAAAAAAAAAAATATATGCAATTTTTTTTACGAGGGGTTCTCAGTGTTACGAAAATTATAGACAAGGGTACACAGATGTCAAAAGTTTGGGAAACACTGCGACACACAGAAACGACGAAAAAAATTAATATAAACTTTAAGGTTTTTGAATGACTCCCATTTCTGATAATTCAGGGGATCATGGACGCGGCAAACCAATGAGCATGAAGTCTGAAATATATTTCGGAAACTGTGTTTTGCCTCGAAGATCATAGGCATGCATTGCAGAGGATGTGGATTCACTACTCCAAGCTACCTGGACACCCGGAAATGCCGAGTATTACACCTCAGAAAAATACCCGGACCCGGCTATTGAAAAGGAACCGTATCCGGGTGTATAATAAATATTTTAATTAAATTTCCCCATGTGCCCTGAACTTAATTAAAAAAAAAACAACAACAAAATCCTGAACGCCAAAATGGTACGAACCTTTGCCAGGAGGTTGCTAGGGAACGTGACTCTATAGGGTCAAAGAAGTTCGTGATTGCTACTGTGTCTCTGCAACCGGCTAAGACTTCATCCCAGAGGCGTAGCTAAGGAATGGGGCAGGGGGGAATAGTTGTCCCTGGGCGCCCGACTAGTTAGGGGCGGTAAAATGTTCTTTAACATTATTTTCTTGATGGAAATAATGAGTTTGAGAGTTGAAAAAAAAAAGGAAGGGGGCGCTTTAAAATGAATCTTTTCCCCGGGCGCCAAAATTTACGCCTCTGCTTCATCCCAACATTGAACAATAATTGTTTGTTATATTTTTGTTATCCAACAGAAATATTTGCAGACAAAAATAGTCACTAAAAATATTTTCTGTCAATAGACAACTTTGGCAATCTACAGCACAGCTAACCTCCTGTACCCGGATGCTTCCAATTAAACACTGTGACATTTTGATCAACTTAGAAAGGTGAAGAATATTTTATTTTTGTTTATGTCTGCACACAATATCCACTTTATGAACTTTTTTTTTTTTTTTACATTTCGGAAAAACCGAATGCGTCACACTTAATGGATGTGTTCGGCCAAACTAGGTGAAGAATATTTTATTTTTGTTTATGTCTGCACACAATTTCCACTTTATGAACTTTTTTTTTTTTTTACATTTCGGAAAAACCGAATGCGTCACACTTAATGGATGTGTTCGGCCAAACCCTCCCCCACCCCCCACCCCCAACCACACCCCAAGCCTTCCACGGCACACCTGGGCCTTCAAGGATGTTCTCGGCCCATGGAAATAAAAAAAAGACCTGGTCGACTATTGTTGACACACACCAAAATTTAAACTAAGATTTTCCCTCCCATTACAGACGTGAAATGAACACAATCCATTCTATCATGTAACATAACATCGAATCGTTTCTCATTATTTAAACGCAAACGTCAACATAAAAGAAATGTAAAGAGTTTGTTTAAAAAAAAATATATATATATTTTTGGTTTCAAATACCCTTAAAAAGAAAACCCAACATAATGCATTGGTATCCAGTTGCTGTTTAAAGCGGTTATTTAATTTTTTACAATGTTTAAATGTGTGTGCTGATTTTACACAACGAACCCCACAATTAAAACAGTCTTTAAAAAAAAATGGAAACAAGTAAGTGACAGCTAACTCCCTAATGATATTGGTGTGGTAAAGTTACCATATTTATTTCAATTTAACCCCCCACCCCACACACAAATAAAAATAGAAAGAAAAAAAAATATTAAAAAATATAATAAATAAATGAAACAAAAGCAATACCGCGTCCGTGTAAACGTCCTTTTTCCAACATACCTTAGCCGCCTTATTCACGGGTCAACGCTCAGTGTCCATAGAATTGTGGACGTTTTGTTTGCACATGTCGAGTTACCGGCAGTGATAGTGCAAGTGCACCTACGCTACCTGTACGTTGACCCAGATACCGTGCACATGCACACACACACACACACGCACACAAAGCTGTTCCTGCTTGACTGAAAATCTCTTACCAAGCCACATGCTTCCATCCATCTCTGGACTCCAGTTTCCGTCAGCCTCTGTCGACCGGAGGAGAGAGATGACTCTGATCTAAATTGAGAAGATGTCTCTTGATACCACCTTCTGCGAGAGAGTGGAGGGGCTTGTGACACCGGCCATGTTGAGGATTGGGGATCGACCGAATTTCGGCTTGGGCTTCGGTTTCGGTCGCCGAAAGCTGCCGTTTGATCACTTTCGGGCGTAGTTTCGAGTTCGGCCGAAACAGAAAAGTTCACTTTCGGTTTAATTTCGGTTCCGGCTGAAAGTGATTAAGACTTTCAGCCATCTGACCGAACGTGACTGATGTTTTTGGTTATCTGCCAGAAGTTTGCCTCTAGGTCGGCAATCTTTTATTCATTATTGCTCGACGTCTTGCTGTCATCGTATGTTTTATGACTAATACTTGCGAAAACTGCTCAAAGCTGCATGATGACCTACTTGTCCTTTATTTCCAAAAAAAAAAAAAATATATATATATAGATTTCAATTAGGCCAAGACAAATGTAAACAGTTCTGTGGAAAAAAAAGTAATGGAATTGTAATATTTATATCACTATTTTTGTTTAAATTTTTTCAAAAATATAAGTTGGAACTCTTAGGTTTATTCAATTCATTCATTTGTGATATTCATTTTCATTTATCATTATCACGCTCATCAATGTTGTTCTAGGCAAAGGTGAATGATATTGCACAATCCAAGGGAATCGTAATATTTCCATCTTTATTTTTGCTTATTAAAAAAAAAAAATAAGAAGATAATTTAGGTTTTTTCAATTAATTAATTTCTTGACATTCACCATTATCATGCTCACAAACATTGTTTTTGACCAAATAACACACGTGTGTTCATGTATCACTGGTTCATAGTATAATTATGTAGTAGGTCTACTGCAGACCTGTTTAATTTTATGATTTATCGACCAATTTCAATCTTCTTTTGCGATTCTCCATCGTGACACGTCAGAAGAGCAATTTTTTTATGAGACCCAGATCGACTTATAACGGAGTGTACGGTATTTAAAAGAAAAACAGAAGTCACATGACCGACACGTGTTTGACTCAGTCAACAAATCAGACGAAAGATCTTTGGTGACGTCAGTTTTGGGGGTTTGTTTTGATATGATTGTTGTATGCTGCCCTTAGAAGTGTCACCAATTTTTTTTTTGAAGAAACCGGCAATCAATACAGCATACAGTCGTGAAGAGCACTGAGTGCAAAGATGAAACGATAAAGTCATAAATTTTACCAGACGCTTCAGACACTAAAAGAAGGTGCGGGGGTCAAGTGAACCGCACACATTTAAACGTGTTCAATGCAGAATGTGCTGCGCCATTTGCCTACAAACGTTTGAACCTTGTATTTTTTGGTTAGCAAAGTATTGTCCGTTTTGTAAACAAATTTAAATATTCTTCATGTTTATGTCATCCGTCTTGCAGGAACTTCCCCGGCGGCACACCATGGGCGTCATTTCAGGTTTTTTGCAAGGGTTAAGGGGTGGGGGGTGGGGCAAAACTAAAACTTGGTATAGGCTTGTTAAGTTGTTTAGTACTGCTGGCGCCACATTACATAGCAGTTTGAAAAAAAAAATACCTGCAAAATCCTAGGAGTGGGGATGCATATGCCCCACCCTGCCCTACCCAAATAAGTTCCCCGCGGCACACTCGCAAAACCTGACGGCACACTAGTTTTGTCGGGCGGGGCACACTAGTTGCGGAGTTCCCCTTTAGAGCTCCATTCACCATATGTCTCAGTTTGCGATAGGATTTACCCCAACCCGGGTCTAGACACATGATAATTGTGTTCCGTTGTTGCATGCCGTCTTAAAAAAAGGGCAACGTCATTCAATTTGTGGAATAAGGAACGCGTATGGTGACCTTGACCCAGGCCCACTTAGAACTCCCATTCTGTTGGACGCATCAGGAGTAACAGCCTCCAACATCGGTGTCAACTAACAGCATATCCATAACATGCACATATCATATGACATAGTCTCGAAGTATGAGGACCATTCATTTAAAACTATCTATTTTCATCACAATCTTTTGCATGTTAAGCTTACGAACTACTTCCTGGAAAGTTTTCAACGATCATGCCTCTCTTTCTTCCTGATGTTCCCCTTTTATTTTGTGTTGTGTTATCAAAGGATCGTATTCAGCTGCATTGTGCCCTTTATTGCCCCGTTTCGCCATTCAGTTTCCACATATCCTGTTCTTTATTATAGTTCATTCCTTTTAGGGTTCGCTACATTTTTTCGAATGAATGGACATATCATAAATTTAATATGCGAAGGAAATACCTTGGGAGCCGCCGGCAGGGGATTTTTTGATGGAAAAAACAACAACCAACCCCCCCCCCCCGCATTATTTCGTTCAAAGATCCGCATGTGGCAATGAATCCAAAGTGTGGTGGAAAATTCGTCTGTGACCGTGGAGTTGGGTCCCTTTTTGAAGTTACCCGACAGAGGAAAAAAATAACCCTATGATCATGCACGGGTGGTCTGACACAAGGGTGCTAAGGTATATCAGCTGAGTCTAAGCACTGTACTGTATCTATAGGCTTTTAGCTCAGGTTGGCCTGGCCCCTAAGGGCCTCACCTCACTGTACTACCTATAGGCTTTTAGCTCAGTTTGGTCTGGCCCCTAAGAGCCTCAAGGTAGAAGGCTTACTTTAAATGAGTGGATATTATCTATACACTAAAGTAAAAAAAAAAGAGAGAAATAAAAACAACAACACACAATGCGTTAAACAGGTTTCAACAACGTCTCTTTAATCATTGGCTTTACAACACAAGTGACAACGTTTGATGGTTCACACACCGGTCACTTCAATTTCCTCTCGAACCAATCATACAAGTTCAACGTTCAATTGCATCTCACGAGCTGCTCCACTCATGATCTCACTAAATTAACACTAAATTGATTGCCAATCTCTCTAACATGTCTCAGCGGTTCAAACCCGGCTTACGATGAGCTCATAACTGGTCGTAACACTGCGCGCGCACAGTTGCTCTAGTACTTTGACACAGACTTTTTCATTAACACTAGAAACATATGACTAACCAATCTGACACGTACTTGTTATTTAACAACACAAACATATGGCTAAGCAATCTGACATAGTCTGGGGGAAATTGAACATGATTAAAAAAAAAGTCATTTTAAGAACAAATTTAAAGACTTTTTTTTTTCTTTAAAAGACTTTAGGACATCGGAGCACCGTGCGCGCGCTAAAATAGCATGGACACAAGCGCTATAAATGTATTCAAACATCATCATCATATGAGTGTGTTGCCGGCCCAAGAGTCAATGTACAATATTGGTTTACTCAAGTCAAGATCAGCTTTGAACCAACATTAAATACATTTTTTAAAAAATGAAATAAAAAAAAACAAAAAAAAACCCCACATAACTTTCAAATCTGACCATGCCAACTTCCTACACTCGGAAAGACTGAAACCCCCAATACTAACATCGCACAACATCGCGAACATGGCGAGCCTCCAAACCCTTAATATTTTCGAACTGATGTCAATTTCTTGTTGTTTATCCTTTTGTCCCGTCTTCAGGGGAAGGCTCTTAGCCGGAACGTTCTTCTTTTAGCGTCCCGTCTCTCTAGTTCAAGCTTCCAGATACATTTCTCTGCTAGTTCCTTCACACAGCTTGAACGCGGTTATTATCCTCAATACGAAACATCAAACATCCAAACATCAAATCCATAGAGAGGCTAAAAATTGGAAGTTAACTGTACATCCCAAACTTAAAAATAAAATCTTGACAGTTAAATAAATACAATGGAACCGAATATAATTCGCTCCCCTTCAACGTGAATGCGAATATAACGTGGCCACGGGATGACTCGTCTTTTCGTATATTCTTTCGTACAGGAATTTTTTATACACATAAACACACACATATACGAGATCTGATTGTAGGCCGTTCAATATCGCCCGCTTTCGTGCAAAGACCAAGGTAAAAAAAGGTACTAATTCGTGTACTGCTGTTCGCTGATGATTCCGCCTTAACATCGCACACAGAAGAAGGTCTTCAGCGGTTAGTTAATGGCCTCACCCAAGCAGGTGAACATTTTGGACTGACACATTAGTCTTCAGAAAAAAAGAAGCAAATGCCACGATGAAAGAAACACAATTCACTTCCAAACATAACAATTATGGGCCATAATCTGTCAGATGTTGAGTTGCATATACCTTTGGGTCCAATATCTCTAGCTCACTCTCCGTTGACGAAGAGCTGAGCACCATCATACACATACACATGTCTACACATATATGTGTGGAGCTTAATCGAAAGTTCACAGAAAGTTAGAATCCATAGAAGTATGAAGCCAACAAATAAACACGGGAGGTTCAAGAGATTTATTGTAATCTAATACATGTGGGTGACCAGCGTGACGTCGTCATTGTCTGACTTCGGCTTGCCCAGCACCGTGACAATGCAGGCCCCGACGAACATGAGGAATCCGCCGATGAAGTCGATGATTAGGGAAAAGCCGACGGGGCTCTTCATGTGGATGCCGAACACACACACGCAGGTGATGACGCACGCAACTGAAAGAGACAGGAGGTTATGGTCAGGCATGAACACATCCGGACTGTGGTACAGGTAATAACCGTATCATGTAGGGGCGTGAGTCGAGACACTTTGGTGTGCCGCTAAGGGGATTTTTATGTGATGTGTCGCCAATATGGGTGTGGCTGCACGACTCATGATGTGCCTGCATATCTATGTTTATATGTACTGTGCTGTGTCTGTATGGGTTTCATTTTATATGATGTGCTGTGTCTACATATATGTGTTTGTATGTGTGTATATGTGTGTGCATGAATGTGTTGAGGAGTGTCCTTATGTGTGTTATGCTATGACCTGCGGTGAGTGATTACGCGTGTGAATTCACGTGAGGCATCGTGTCTGCATGTATGTGATTGTATATGTTGTGTCGTATCTGCATGTATGTGATTTTTTTATATGTTGCGTCGTAGCTTTATGCCTTTCGTTGCTAATACTCTAATTCAACGCGTACACATATAAGCTAATTTTTGGCACGACTTGTTGTACTTCTACATATTGTATTCTGAACTTTTATTACAAACATACTATATAAATTATACAAACTGTACATAATTTATACAATGAGCAGGCAACCTTTTCTGCGCAGATGGAAGCGTGGAATTTAAAAAAAAAATATCTTATGGCGGGCCCTAAAATAATTTTTTAGAATCTAGAATTCAATATTATAACAACAACAATATGTTTTGTTAATGTAAAATAATCATAGTGAGATGATCGCTGACATGTAAAGTCAAATAACTAATTACTAGCTAATGGTCGCCACACTAGTTACAGGCGTTTCAAAAAATTCTTGCGATTGTTCATGTTTAAAGGTTCTTTTTTTTTACACACATTTATTCAAAATGTGTACATTTTACGAAACGGTGGAGTTTCGGGGCCAAGTTAACGTATCAGAGGGCCTTAGTTTTCCCGCGGGACCCAGGTTGCCCAACCCAGGTTGATACTTTGATAAATCCTTCCGTTTCATTCTATGGTTTACTTACACGTGATTACACCCAAGACGGCCGGCACCTTGCGGATGTCCATGCACATCTTGCTGGTCAGGTAGATTCCATGGCTGATGGAGGATACGATAGTCATCAGTCCGGCTGCAACTCCCAAAAGAGCGAACGCCTTACTGACATGCAACCAGGCTGTTGAATAGACATGCACCCAAACTATTGAATAGACATGCAACTAAACTATTGAATAGACATGCAACCAAACTATTGAATAGACATTTAGCCAAACTTTTGAATAGATATGCAACCAAACTATTGATTAGACATGCAAACCAAACTATTGAATAGACATGCAACCAAACTATTGAATAGACATGCAACCAAACTATTGAATGGACATGCAACCAAACTATTGAATAGACATGCAACCCCACTGTTGAAACAATTGCATAGTCTTGTAACCACATTGAATTGACATACATGTAACCAATATGCTTAAAATACATGTAGTCCCACCGTTAAATAGAAATTTCATGTAACCAAATTGTTTAATATACACGTATCCATACTGTTAAATAGACAAGCTATGTACGTATTAAAACTATTAAATAGACATTTAGCCAAATCATTGAATAGAAATGTACCATCACAGAGTGAGATATCAATTCTTTAAGGACATAAAGAACAATATTCTCCGATGTTATGAACATTTCAAATAACGTCAAAATAGTAATACAAAATTGTGTTTCATTTGCCTGCAGGCCGTAGGTTCCCCTCCTGCGGGCCGTTGGTTCACCACCTTAATGTGGTATTGATTTGACTGCAGGCCGTAGGTTCACCTCCTGCGGGCCGCTGGTTCACCCCCTTAATGTGGTATTGATTTGCCTGCAGGCCGTAGGTTCACCTCCCGCGGGCCGCTGGTTCACCCCCTTAATGTGGTATTGATTTGCCTGCAGGCCGTAGGTTCACCTCCTGCGGGCCGCAGGTGCACCCCCTAAATGTGGTATTGATTTGCCTGTGGGCCATAGGTTCACCACCTAAATGTGGAATTGATTTGGCTATGGGCCAAGGGTTCACCACCTAAATGAGGTATTGACAGATCATGGCTGTCTATCATTCAAAACAATGTATGGAAACAAGAAGGGAGAACCATATAAATAACAACTTTTGATATTTGTTCGTGTGTTTATATCAAGTAATCACTATATAAAGCCAACAAGAACATTTTCTTGTGTGTCTTTTAAAATAAAAAAAAAAAGACAATTTGGTCAAAATGTTGAAAAGAGGGTAACTCTGAAGAAAATCAATCTGCTGGGTCCAAGGAACTTGATTACAGTATAAAGCATTAAATGTATTTCACTTCAAATTTTTTTTTTAAAATTGTGAAAAACACAGCTTTTGTGAAATCAAATAGAACTGTTATATTTCAAGAAAACATGAAAAAAAGAGCAGGTATACTGCAAGAAAATAGCGCAGTTGCAATGCAAAAAAATAAATAAATAATAGAGCAGTTGTACTGCGAGAAAATGGAGCGTTTGTAGATCAAGAAAATAGAGAATTTTGTGTAAGCAAAAATTGCAGTTATAAATTTGAGAAGAAGGTGATATGGCTGAACTATAATGCATCCAGGCGTCCAGGCACAGACGATGCAAGTCCATAATTTATATTCGAATTATGCTATCGTTACGTACCAAGATATGGTTTTTGTCAATATAATCTGTTTTAAGATTCAGCTCGTTTGTTGAACAATAAATAACAAAGACTTGAAAACGAGTATACAAAGAAAATCGAAACCAAGGCTAGTGATGCTAACAATATTCAATTTAATTACACGAGTAAATTTATATAAAGAATACAAAATCAAATGGACATAAGTAAAGAAACAAAAAGAGATCAACTTACTTGCACATCAATTGAAAAAGTGCAATCCTCGACAGATACAAATCTTAATTTACACACATACTACAAAGAGTACAATCTTGTAAGCATATTACGTCTCGGAAGTGTCTCTATTTTTGGGGGAAGCTGACGGCTTATATGATATAGGGAGTAAGTTAGAACCCTCCAGGAAATAAATTTTAGAAATCGCGTCACATGTTATACACTTATATTTATAAATATATATTATTAATAACTCTTTAAGTCTGAACTGGGTGTTATCGCAGTTGCGGAGCAAAGTATTGAGCATAAATTTGATGACCCTTACAGGACAATGTGACGGGATTACCTTCTGTCTGGGACAAAGCAAAGTGCTCGCATAATTTGGGCGAGCAGCGCTCCCACAGTCCAGAGTGGTGATCTTTTGCATGGTCCACCGTCCACTTGGGCGTTGCCAAACCAACGACATGCAGCACGAAACCAATGGACGACACGACGATGCCGATGAACACGCCCACCAGTCTGGCCATTGGTCGTCTGGTTCAAATAAAGACAAAGAACATGAACATTTTAAGACATTGTAAATGAAAAAAAAACCAAAAAAAAAACACAAAAACAACAACAAAACAGAAACACACAGAAACACACACTACGCATCAAGCGTTCTTCGTTTTCCCATGTGTTGCCCTGTTTATGGGAAAGCGTTAAGTAACACGCCTACCGGGTCTGGCCATGAGTTGTCTGGTTCTTCGATAGGCAGATAACAGAAAAATTAGGACATGTTGTAGGTACCTGAAAGGCACACACACACAAATCGAAGCGTTTATTGTGTTCCCACGTATTGCCTTATTTATGGGATAGCTTTACGTTACAGGACTATCCCCTCACATTAACACACCAATTAACACAACATTGAGCACAGCTCTAAAGAGACCTATAAAGCTACAATAAAAGCAACACTCCACAACTGAAATTTGTTTTTAAAAATAAATAAATTAAAATGCGTTTTATTTAAATCCAAGAAATTTAACCGAAAGGCGCAAATATTTATTCATTGATTTGTAATTAAACTAAAGAAAGTTACAGCAGTTTGAGATGCCAACTAGATCTTTAAATATGGCTTTCCACACTCAGTCCTTCGCTCCGATAAGTCCCGCATTAATAAATAAATGTGACCTTTGGTAAATAATTCCTATCTCCTTAGCACCTTAGCAGAATTATGACACTTCATGCACGGCTACAATTATAAATTAAACTAGCATATATACCCGTCATTTGCCGGGATAGCATTAGGAACAAAGGAACTTCTACAGCCTTACAATACACATTAAATTTAAGCACCGTGTACAAAAAAACAACAACAACTCCGCTTTAGTAAAAATGGTAATAACAATTCTGTCTTCTATTCAAACACATTTCTAATAACTTCTGTAAACCTTTCGTTCCCCGATAGGATCCCGATCCCAGAGGGCACCCAATCGGATCCCATTTACCGATGGGATCCCGTTTTCCGATGTATTCCGTTATTCAGAAGGATCCTGACCCCGTTTGGATCCAGATGTCGGTTGGATCCCGATTCCGGTGGGATCTCGATCCCAGTGGGATCCCGATCCCGGTTAGATCCCGATCGCGTTAGGATCCCAATCCCGGTTGGATCTCAATCACTTTGGTATTTCCATCCAGCCGGTTCTGTCAGTGGTAAAACTTCGATACATTTCAGTAAACGATTTGTATAAAAAAAAAAAAAACAGGTCTCGAGACACCAATAAATTTTCAATCAATGTTGCCCTGAGATCAGTTTAAGAAAGGTGATAAACTTGAGTCAGCCATGCGCCAACAATATTCACTTCGGGATTTTTAATTTATAACAAAATTATCCAGGGAGTCTTTGGGGCCTCCTTTTTTTTTATACCGCCCCCGCAGGGATCAAGGTGACAATGACGTCACCTTTCACCTCTTGAGCTTTGCATGTTAGTGAAATATATTTTCTTTCGCTAACAGTTTTTTTTTAAATCTCTTAATCGGTGTAATTAGTTGTTTAGATCACCGGGGACAAGCTAAGCTGGGGCCGAAAGCCCACCCCCCAGGGGCACTACAACCGGATTAAACATTGATTTCTGCTTGGTAGGGAAGGAGGGCGAAGGTATTGCCTGCCCTGGCGGCTTTATTGCCGAATGCGGGCGTGGATAAACACACTGACCGCCCCACGGCGTCTAAAATAGCCACCCGGATCAAATTGTCTTACGTAAACACCGGTGGTAAGGTTAGGGGCCTCTGACAGCAGTTCTCAGAGCGGGGCATATGGCCCAAAGGGAGCCACGTCATATATCTGGGTCACCACTAAAACACTGAATACTTTATATTATATAAAATTAAATGATAATTTTAAAAAGTGGGAGGCATACAACTATTTAGCTTATTAGTTCATTTAAGTGGGCCACCAGTATAAAAGGTTGAGAGACACTGGTGACCTTACAACACGACTGCGTCGGCTGACTCAACCTTTTTCTTCCTGATTCCAAGAAAAGAAGTGAGCAGTGTTTGTCATCCTTTGCTATGCGCCGCTTGCAGTTGGCATAAAATCACGAGAAACAAATCTTCCCTTGCATGTTGATGGGTCATAAAATCACGAGAAACAAATCTTTCCTTGCATGTTGATGGGTCATAAAATCACGAGAAACAAATCTTTCCTTGCATGTTGATGGGACATAAAATCACGAGAAACAAATCTATCCTTGCACGTTGAAGGGACATAACATCACTAGAAACACATCTATCCAAACATGTTGAAGGGACATAACATCACGAGAAACAAATCTATCCTTGCACGTTGAAGGGACATAACATCACTAGAAACACATCTATCCAAACATGTTGAAGGGACATAACAAAACTAGAAACAAATCTATCCTTGCACGTTGAAGGGCATAACATCACTAGAAACACATCTATCCAAACATGTTGAAGGGACATAACATCACTAGAAACAAATCTATCCTTGCACGTTGAAGGGACATAACATCACTAGAAACACATCTATCCAAACATGTTGAAGGGACATAACGTCACTAGAAACAAATCTATCCTTGCACGTTGAAGGGACATAAATTCACTAGAAACACATCTATCCAAACATGTTGAAGGGACATAACATCACGAGAAACAAATCTATCCTTGCACGTTGAAGGGACATAACATCACTAGAAACACATCTATCCAAACATGTTGAAGGGACATAACAAAACTAGAAACAAATCTATCCTTGCACGTTGAAGGGCATAACATCACTAGAAACACATCTATCCAAACATGTTGAAGGGACATAACATCACTAGAAACAAATCTATCCTTGCACGTTGAAGGGACATAACATCACTAGAAACACATCTATCCAAACATGTTGAAGGGACATAACAAAACTAGAAACAAATCTATCCTTCAATGTTGAAGGGACATAACATCACGAGAAACAAATCTATGCATGCACGTTGAAGGGACATAACGTCACTGGAAACAAATCTTTCCTTTTTTGTTGAAGTGATAATAACAAGGCCTCGCGTGGTAAGCGAAAGCTAATACAGGGGGCAAGGCATTTCATCTAGTCGCCCTCTATTCACACAAAAAAGTATACTTAATACACAAAGTTTGCATGTTAAATGTCAAAAAAATTGAGTCCCTGAAGAAGACTGTGCCATTTGAACTCCAACCCCTTCACACTACCCTGGAAAAATTAAAAATCATTTCAGGTACAGACAATCTAAATTAAAAATAAATAAATAAGAAAAAAAAAAAAAACGAAACAAAAAACCGAACCACTCCCAAGATCCCTTTTCCTAATCTTTAATATGAAATGTAAGATTGGTAAAAAGTATACTTAATACACAAAGTTTGCATGTTAAATGTCAAAAAAATTGAGTCCCTGAAGAAGACTGTGCCATTTGAACCCCAACCCCTTCACACTACCCTGGAAAAATTAAAAATCATTTCAGGTACAGACAATCTAAATTAAAAATAAATAAATAAGAAAAAAAAAAAAAAACGAAACAAAAAACCGAACCACTCCCAAGATCCCTTTTCCTAATCTTTAATATGAAATGTAAGATTGGCCTCAACCTGTCTCTATTTTTTCTTGTCTTTTCATTTGCCATGTCCGCCGAGGAACAGGGCCGGCGCTAGGAGGGTGCGGGGCCTTGGGCAAATTGAATTTTGCGGGGCCGATGACGTTATACATTCCGCCGATAGGATAGTAAGACACGTTATAGTCAGACCCTCACCGCCACTCTTGCAACATCTACAAAACAACAGAAAATATCATTCGTCTTCTCATCGTGTGATGAAGACTGAACAAAAGGTTGCCGGGTCTATATACAGTGTAAAATTCCCTGATAATCCTCTTTCGTCTGATTAACATGCGCCCAGGGTCTCCCCGAGATTCATCTCGAAGGGATATAATATGGGTTGACAAGACCAGATAATTCTGTCGCTAAATCTAAGTAAATGTATCCCTCAGCCTAACCTGAACCCTAAAATGTATCCCTAAACCTAACCTGCACTCTAAAAATGTATCCCTACACCTAGTCTGAACCCTAAAGTGTATCTCTAAACCTAGCCGGAACCCTAAAACGTATCCCTAAACCTAACCTGAACCCTAATTCACGGCCATTTTAATAAACACGCCAACGACGTCGTGGGATCCTATCTTCCTCTAAGCCCGGTAACGTTCTTCTCTTCTTGTCCGCTGTCATTCGAGTCAAGCTTCCACATACCCTTGTTGTCCAATTGATCCCTTCACACAACTTGAACGCAGTCCTTCATTTTAGTAGGCTTTACGGCAGCAAATGATTCAACATTTGTGAAGGGAGGAAAACATAAATAATTTAGACCAATACATAATTTAAACAAAATTACCTTATTCTAATAGAAAGGATTTTTCTTGCAGCCCTGATGCGCCAACTAAAGCGTGATGATGTGTCAGACCGTCACGGTAGAGCGTCCTCTCAGTCTCGTCAACGCTAGAAAGTGAAACACCACGCGCGCGGATAAGGGCGGTAAAAATAGGATGATCGTGAAATTCCCAGAAACGACCCGGAACTACTAACCCCCACCACCCACCCCACCCCAGCCCCCATGAACAAATACGGAAAAGCGAATTCAGTATCGCTATATCGTTTAAAAAAAAAAAAAAAGAGTGTATGGAGTNACAGATGTCACGTTGATACATGGTGTGCTGTTGATAAACAACCCAGCCACGGCTGTGTACAAATCAGGGTTTCTTTCAGCTATATCTCCGGGGGCAGTGCCCCCCCCCCCGGGAAAGCCAAATGCCCCCCCCGAGCAAAAACATGTCCAACAATAAATGAACTGGAAATGCTGGCACTCCCCCCCCCCCCCCCCCCCCCCGAAAATCTGAAGTGCTCCCCCGGGGGAAAATTTCTGAAAGAAACACTGGTACATACCCTCCCCATTGTTGATAATAGTTTAATAGAAATTGAACACGAATTGTGGACAGTTGCCTTTGATGTTAACCACTGAGTTATCGTGTGGACAGTTGGCTTTGATGTTAACCACTGAGTTATCGATGAAACCTTTAGACCATTTTTGGTAACCAGGGATTTTTCAGGGATACGTTCAGACCATGTATGTTAACCACCAGGGTGCACGGACTTGGGCAAATAGAATTTTGTGGGGTCGTTAAGGTTATATATTCCACCGACAGGATATTAAGACACGTTATAGTCGTGCTGGGTGGGGGCCTTGCTGGTCATAATGGGACGCGTCATAACGGATATTTCTTCACTCGCTTAGTTTCCGAAATTTCTATTTTTTCCCCTGTAGAACTGAATTGCACTGGCCCAAATTACTCATCGCGGCTCCATTGATACCAATATCAAAGTTGTCAAAAACAAATAACGAAAACACGAAGCTGAGTGAGCCATTGTCTTCTAGACACAAGCCAAAAATAAGACCGCAAAAAAAACAACAAAAAAACTATACGGCAACGCAACGGACGGGGCGCCGCAAACGCGGGGCCTTGGGCGGTCGCACACTTCGACCTCCGCTAGCGCCGGCCCTGTAACCACCGAGTTATCAATCATACGTACTGTCCATTTATGTTAACCAGGTAGTTATCAAAGATGCGTCCAGTCCAGAACGAGGCACGATGAACCACAGGTGTTAATAGTGTTTACCAACGTGCTAATTTCAATTAGAAAATATACATATTACCATTAAGGGTATATTATTGTTCAATAAAATTATATGCCATAACGCGAAATGAGGTTTTGTTTTAGCTCAGTTCAAGTTCATTTTGTGCGCCATTTGGAGTGCTTTAGCTATAGTGTCTTTCAGTTTGTACTGTCTTAAAGTGCTATCTCCTCGACTGCTTTGTCAGGGGCATAATTTTATGTAGCAAGTAAATACCGTAATGATTTGGTTCTGGTTCTGCATCCATATACTGGCATATTTGCAACGTTTGGGGAAGCGCTGTTGCTATCCAAACAGCTCCAAGCAGATGCCAGGACAGCCTTACAGCTTACGACCGATGTCGAGTCCACGGCGGTACTGTCAAGGTGGTTCCAAGCGATTACTGCGCGTGGGAAGAATGATTGATTCAATTGCACCGTGTTACACCGAGGCACAGTGAAGCATTTGATAGTGTTCCGGGTGTAGTTGTTCACGGGGTTGTTCGAGGGTAAATCAGTGTTTACTGAGCGTTCGGCTCTGATTAAGCGACCTGGCTTCTGTGGGGTGAGATACGTGTTTGCCGGGATGGCCGGCACTGGCCCCTTGACCACTTTATTTAAGAAATACTGGCGGAGCCCCTCTCGCCTGTGCATGAGGGAAGGGATGTTAATTATTTTTAAGAGGCCAGGGACGAACCCAGGAGTGGTGGATTTGTAGTCTCGTGCGATAAAGCACGCACTGCGTTACGTTGGATTTGCTCCATCTTGTCCACGTCTTGCTCTAGGTGTGGGTCCCATATGATCGCACCATATTCTAGTAGCGGACGGACGAGAGCAAGATAGACATTTCGTTTGCAGGAAGTTGGGCAGTGGCGCAGATTTCTTCTAAGGAAACCAAGTGTGGAGTTGGCATTTTAAAAAAAAAAAATTGTTTATATGGGGTGACCGTTTTAGGTTATCCGTGAAGAGAATCCAAGGTATGGATTATTGGATACTTGTTGGAGTGTTGTCTTGTTTAGGGAGTACATATAGGTTGATAGATTTTATCTTGAGATGCTCAATGTGTTGCTCATTAAATTTCATGCCCCATATGTCCTCCCAAATCTGAGCAAATTGAAGTCGCTAACTTTGTGCACTTTTCTCGCTTTTCTTGTATTGTTCCATCCTTGACTAGCTCCATTCTCGTAATGCTCCATTCTTGAATTGCTCCATTCTTGATTTGCTCCATTCTTGTATTGCTCCATTCTTATTTTTGCTCCATTCTTGCCTTGTTCCATTCTTGTCCATAAACTGTTCATTAGCAAGAATTATGGTGACGTCGGATGCGCCCCGTTTAATCCTCATTTAATGCACTTGAGAATGCACTTTTAAAAGCATTCCTCTTTCATCGCCCTTTGCCCCGCGGCCTTATGACATCAACCCCCCCCCCTCCAATCTCCACAGCCCAAGTGTCAAGGATGTAAGAATCACTGTTGTGAAGGTGGACGCCGATTGGTCCTTGAGTTTTGTCATGAGCTGTGTCATAAGTTTTGTCATGAGCTGTGTCATGAGTTTTGTCATGAGCTGAGTTTTGTCATGTGTTAGACTAGCCATATAGACTAGCCGGTATTGCAGGCCAGAGTATGCACCTGTACGGATTAAGCCCGAAGGTTAAAATATCCAAGGCCAGATTATATATATCCCCTCCCGCTTTGTGTGTGTGTGTGTGTGTGTGTGTGTGTGTGTGTGTGTGTGGAGATATCAGTAGTGTAAGGGATTCATAAGTTACTTAATATGTCGACATTTTTTGGGCTTTCAGCTTGGCCAGATAAGTTGTGAGGAAGGTCACGAATTTTAATCTTAAAACTCTAAGGTCAGACTATAAACCTCCAAGTCATACTATACCCTTCCATGTCAAACTATACACTTCAAGGTCAGACTAAACCCTTCCAGGTCATACTATACATTTCCAGGTCAGACTATACCCTTCCAGATCATTCTAAACCCTTCCAGGTCATACTATACCCATCCAGGTCCAGACTATAGCCCATCCGATCAGACTATAGCCATTTGCCATTCAGGTCGGACTATATATATATATATATATATATATATATATATATATATATTGTATATAAATATATACATATATATCAACAACTAGGTCAGGACAATCAATTTTATCTTTTTATTTGTCTTTAACTTTTTGTTAGACTATAGCCATTTGCCATTCAGGTCGGACTATATATATATATATATATATATATATATATATATATATTGTATATAAATATATACATATATATCAACAACTAGGTCAGGACAATCAATTTGATCGTTTTATTAGTCTTTAACTTTTTGTATTGAAGCGAGGAGTTGTTTGTTTTAGATGTTTTAGCTTTACGACGTCAGCATTGTAATATGCTATAATGTACAATCAAATTAATAATTAATTAGACATTATGTTTCAATTTCGTTATAACGTCTGGGGTGTGTGCAGGGCCGGCCCTACGGTTGCTGACGCCACGGGAAAGCTTAAATTTGGCGTAAGTATAATCATAAAAATGTGTGCAAAGAATTAAGAAATTAAGAATAAGGTCATGAGTTTATTACAAAGTTTAAAAAAAATTAAAACAAAAAAATGAACAATGAAATTATTTTCCTAAAATTGTATTTGGACAGTTTGAAAATGTATCCTACTGTGGTCAGTATGAACATTAACCCAACCGTTCGGTAGCATGAACAATGTCCCGACCGATGATATTTTTTGTATAGCCTTTAGATCAGTACATCTTTTTTTTACACTTTCTGTCTTCCGTGGCACCAACATGCAATGCTTTTTTTAAAATCTATTTTTGGAGATCGCTAATGACGCCCTAAGCACACGACGCCCCGGGGTAAGTGCCCCGAGTAGCTGGTACTTTCAGCTGGCACTGCTAAGCACATAACAACAGTTACACAATTAACCCCCACGCCAAAAACGCATCAAGTTAGCAAAGCATATTTCATTCATCTTGCCCTTGATCAACAGGGGAAACAACCCAGATTTTTGGGGGGCTGTGTTTGGCGTGGTATGTTAGGCGAAACTTTGAATTCACTAGAGGCTTGCCACTGGATATGGTTGGCCCGGACGAGAGAGTGAGGTTGACGCTGCGCAACTCCTCTTCACTTTAAAACAAAAGTCACCCGCGCAAGTCATCAGTCACCGGACGACTCGACGGTCATCGTCAATCTTCGACAGACGAACAATAATAATGTTAAGGGTGGGTGGGGCTGAACATTTGGTAGAACTTGTTTTCATCGGCAACGAGTGTATTTGCCAAAATATCACTTTGATGGGATGACAGTAAGTGGATCAATTAGCCGTCTGAAGATTTTGCCTTAAATACACGAAAAAAACAAACAATATTTTTAAAAAGGGTATGGGGGAGGGGGGTAAATGAAGGGTATTGAGTCCCTATTTAAGTCCCTAGTTGAGTCCCCTATTTAAGTCCCTAGTTGAGTCCCTATTTAAGTCCAAAATTAAGTCCCTAGTTGAGTCCCTCCACAGGAAGTTTTTGCATAATTGAGAATGCTGGGATACACTTTGACAAAAAACGCGATTGAGTATTGCATTACTCTGCACTTTATCGGAGACCAACAGAGGAGATGCCAGTAGATCCTCTAGTATGACCTCTAGATAAGGTTATACTTCATCAGATTTTTACTGCCCTGACAACACATATCACTTTCAAATAAAGGTGACAATTTTATGACACATCATTTAGTTTAAAAAAAATCTATCTCCAATTTTATGGTTACTTTATGGATTTATTATTATTTTGTGGGTCTATTTTAAAGTCTATATTTTTTTCCATGTATATTTTTGTGGTGGAACCATTCTCCT